TCTTCCTTTTTCTCTCTCTCTCTCTCTCTCTCTCTCTCTCTCTCTCTCTTTCTTTCACGTGGCACTGTTTTTCTCGGCCGTGCTCAGCCAATGAGCCGCGAATCACGCTCTTTCATTATTCAATTTAGCCCGACGTGACGATAAGCGGTTTGCTGACTCGACAAAATAAAAGAAAACACGTGCGGCATTCAACAGCTGATTTTGAGGGATCTAGATTTCGTTCCGTATGAATCGATTCGAGGACGAATCGAGAGGCTGCACGCGCACCTCGTTTCCTCGTCGTTTCTCGTTCCCATCTAGAAAGCGATACCTCCGCGACTCTCGTCCACGCGAGTGCACCGAACTGCACTCACGTGCGACTTGCGAGGCAACCATCATTTTTGTCGAACGTAAAAAAATACGTATCGACGCCACGGTTATTCATCTACGAAATGCTTATGGGTAGCTCGAATGGAATATAAAAAGCAATTCGCGACGATTAGAGACTGATTCTTTAATTGCGGTTTCATTGACGCTTGCCTTTCCTATAATCCTTTTTCGACTAGCTTTTATTCCTGAATCTCGCATGAAATGCAGAAAGGATAAAAAGCGTAAAGTATATAGGCTGCGTTCAGCAGACACAACTGTTGAGTTCGTCTTATCAACACTCCGCGTTGATTGGTTGGCTCTAAAAGTAAAAGCCAATCACGTTCGACTGCTACTAAGCGGCTTGGTCTGCTGAACGCGCCCATTGGCTATGCCGGAGGTGCAGCTTGTTGACACGCTCGCGGCAAGGAAGATTAGGCATCTCGTGTTTCGATGAGTTTTGGAACACAACGGAATTTAAAAAACCGTGAATCACGGACCTGCGCGACGACGAACGCTTTTCCGTCAGCTGACGAGGAACAACATCGGGCATTTAACTAAAATAAAAAAGGATAACAGCTGTAACCTTATCTGCGTTCCAAAATTTATCGGCAGCGCGTTATGAAAGCAGTTTCAAAATTTATCACAGAGCGCTGTGAGATAATAGGTCTCTTTGAATTCTTTACAGCTGAACCTCTTGTATTTTTCATCTTTTCTCCTTTTCTTTTCAACATCTATTGTACACTTATGTTCTCGTTTCAAATATGCGAAATTTGCAGCTTCGGAGAACGGGCTCAAAATTCTTGAATTAATTTGCAAAAGAAATATATGCGCAAATTCTGCTCTTACAGAAAAGCACTATCGCACGGCTTTTAGCCAATCAACTTGTAAATTTTTCGTAAGAATGGAATTTGCGCACACGTTTTAAGCCCTTTGCATAATATTAGGTAACAGGCAATAGAAACAGGAAATAACAAAAAAATCGTTAATTACAACCTAAAAAATTCGAATGCTATGATTGGTTGGCAACAAACAATAGGCACAGAATTTCCAACGTGACGGAAACTCTGTGTCTATTGCCTATGTCACTTTATTCTACATTTATACATGATTTCTGATTTCTATTCCCTGTTCCTATTGCCTATTGCCTAGCATTGTGCAAGGGGCTTATCTCTTGCGAGTAATGACTCTTGCCCACAGGACACAGGACGCGGTAAACGCTTGCCGCGCGACAAGAAGCGTCGAGGTAGCCAATAAACTTTTGGTTCTTACGGAAAAGCGACACGTTGATTGGCTACCGCGTCGCTTCTTGCCGCGCGGCAAGCGTTTCCGCGTTCTGTGTGCAGAAGCCATTACAAATGTTGACACTTTGTACACACGTTCTATAATTTTCATCTTCTTTCAAGATAAGCATCGAGGCCCTATTCTCGAATCGTTTTCATGAAACCCGCATGCAAAATTCAGTGCTTTTCAAATAGAAAGTCGCATACGAAAATCATTAGAGCAGGCTCGAGAATACGGTCCCAGGTAACTGCGTAGATCCGTTTGAATGGGTCTTAGGCCCGGTCTACAATGGATGTCGGAAGTCGGAGTCGTAAGAAATTGACCAATTACAATCTATTATGCTAGGTCTACAATGCGAGTCGTAAAGTCGTGAGTCGCAAGAATTGACCAATCACAGTCGATTATTCTCCTCAAATTCGATTGTGATTGG